ATTTTGAGGAAGCTCAGTCTGTTGATTTTTTCTTTTATGCTGTGCTTTTGATGTTGTCTAAGGATTCCACCACGTCCTTGCTCCACAGTGAGCCTTCTGCATCTGCTGATGTGCTCACGAGACTTTTCTAATATGGTGGATCGGACTGATTCATTTTGAGGTGTGAACCAGCCTTGCATTCCTGCTTGGCCATGGTATATACCTCTTTTCTCGTGTTACTGAATACTCTTTGCTAACGTTTTGTGAAGGTCCTCGGTAGACTTCGTTTTAACTTTCTATTAAGTGCTTGCCTGGAGAGCAGTCTGCTTCAGGGAGTTGTGAAAAGGCTCCAGGAGAGAGCAGGAAGAGGTCTGAAAGCGAGGTCTCCAGGAAGGGCCGAGGGAGGGGCAGCGTGGTTGGGAGGAGAGGAGGTCAGATGGGGAAGCAGCCGTCTCTCGGTGGGCTTTTGTCTGTCTTCTGAAGCACAACCCGCCCCTTCCTCCCTGTCCTCACGCCGCCCTGATGCGTGGTCCCTAGCTGTTGGTGTCAGGGCAAGGACAAAGACCCGGGACACCTTGAGTCTGAGTCTTTGTGATTCCCAGGCCCTGAGTGATGGGGAAGATGGGGTCAGAGGCTCTTCTTGTGACCGGGCCAGGATGTGTCTTCTGCTGGACTGGCACCTTTTTGTTGGTCCCTTTGGTGGCAGATGTGAGTGACATCAGGCGCTTCCTCAGTGCGTTTCACGAGCCGCACGCGGGCCTCATCCAGGCCGCCCAGCAGCTGCTGTGTGATGAGCAGGCCCCGCAGAGGCAGAGGCTGCTGGCTGACCTCCTACACAACGTCAGCCAGAACATCGCGGCTGAGACCCGGGCTGAGGACCCGCCGTGGTTTGAAGGTGCGTGGGTGCTGCAGCTGGCAGGGGAGGGGCTTCTTCGGAGCCTGTGGTGCCAGGAGAAGTTGGGGTCCAAAAAGCCCCTGACGAAGGGTTGGCCTGTAACCCTGTGGTTGAGGTGGGGGACTTGGAACAAAATGTGCTGATTTCCCGGCCTCGTGGGAAAGGCACCCCCGCCCCTCACGTGGGGGCCAGAGTCTGGGCAGCCCTCGGATGAGACCTTTTTTTTTTGAGACAGAGTCTTGCTCTGTCACCAGGCTGGAGTGCGGTGGTGCGATCTCGGCTCACTGCAACCTCCACCTCGCCTCCTGGATTCAAGCAATTCTCCTGCCTCAGCCTCCCAAATACCTGGGACTACAGGCATGCGCCACCACACCCAGCTAATTTTTGTATTTTTAGTAGAGATGGGGTTTCACCATGTTGGCCAGGATGGTCTCAATCTCCTGACCTCGTGATCCACCCACCTCGGCCTCCCATAGTGCTGGGATTACAGGCATGAGCCACCACACATGGTGAAGGGACTTTTTATTATTTTTATTTTTTTGAGATGGAGTCTCACTCTGTTGCCCAGGCTGGAGTGTAGTGGCATGATCTTGGCTCACTGCAACCTCTGCCTCCCAGGTTCAAGTGATTCTCCTGCCTCAGCCTCCTGAGTAGCTGGGATTACAGGCATGTGCCACCACACCCAGCTAATTTTGTATTTTTAGTAGAGATGAGGTTTCGCCATGTCGGCCAAGTTGGTCTCGAATTCCCGACCTCAGGTGATCCATGTGCCTCAGCCTCCCAGAGCGCTGGGATCACTGGTGTGAGCCACTGCACCCGGCCTATTATTATTTAAAAATTGTGGTAAGATACACATGACATAAAATTTAGCATCTCAACCATTTTTTAGCGCATAGGTCACTGGCATTAGGTACAGTCACACTGTGTGCGGCCACCACTACCATCCTCTCCAGAACGCCTTCCACCTTGCAAAGCTGAACCTCTGTCCCCGTTACACTCGCTCCCCCTTCCCCCTACGCTGGCCCCCAGCAATCACCGTTCCAGTTTCTGTGTCTCTGATTTGATGACTCTAGGAACCTCATATGACTGGAGTCACACAGTATTTGCTCTCTTGTGACTGGCTTATTTCACTCAGCACAGTGTCCTCAAGGTTCATTCATGTCATAGCATATGGCAAAATTTCCTTCTTTTTCAGGCTGAATGACACTCCATGGCATGTACACACCACATTCTCTATTCATTCCACTGCATGTACACACCACACTGTCTGTTCACGCCACTGCATGTACACACCACACTGTTCACTCCACTGCATATACACACCACACTGTTCACGCCACTGCATGTACACAGCACACTGTTCACTCCACTGCATGTACACGCCACTCTCTATTCACTCCACTGCATGTACACGCCACACTATCTATTCACTTCACTGCATGTACACGCCACACTATTCACCCCACTGCATGTACACGCCATGCTCTATTCACTCCACTGCATGTACATGCCATGCTCTATTCACTCCACTGCATGTACACACCACACTCTGTCTATTCACTGACACTGGGTTGCTTCCGCCTTCTGGCCCGGCCTTGTAGGCCCATCAGAGGCGATGTTGAAAGACTGAGCCCTTTCGGGAAAGGAGGGCTTGAGGGCCAGGCAGAAGCTCCTTGGTGGTATTTGAGGCGCTTCTAACACAAAAACCAAACAAGGACGCTGTGCGTGTCACCATCAGAATACTTCTCAAGGTGGTGCCATCTGGCCGGGTGTGGTTGCTCATGCCTGTCATCCTAGCACTTTGGAGGCCAAGGCGGGAAGACAGCTTGAGCCCTGGAGTTCAAGACCAGCCTAGGTAACAAAGTGAGACCTCATCGCTACAAAAAAGAAAAAGTCAGTCAGGTGTGGTGGTGCGTGCCTGGAGTCCCAGCCACTTGGGAGTCTGAGGCAGGAGGATTCCTTGAGTCCAGGAGGTCAAGGCTATAGTGAACTGTGTTCGTGCCACTGTTCTCCAGCCTGGAGGCTAGAGCAAGACCCTGTCTCAAAAAAAGAAAAAAAAAAAAAGAAAGAAAAGATGAAAAGATGCTTGCAGTGTGACCCTCATATTCCGCCCTGCTTGGCACCTGAGCTGGGCAGGACATTGACCCAGTAACCCCTGACCTCCCTGTGGGCTCGGGGGTCTTCTCGTTTTCCTTGCAGGCTTGGAGTCCCGATTTCAGAGCAAGTCTGGCTATCTGAGATACAGCTGTGAGAGCCGGATCCGGAGCTACCTGAGAGAAGTGAGCCCATGTGAGGGTTGGGTATGCTGGACGGGTTTTTGAAGCCAGGCTCTGCGGGCTCTGGAAGCTTCTTGGCCTCACGACGAGCCGTGGGTAGGCCCACACTCTGTGCTTGCATGGATCTGGTGGGGCTGCTCTGGCCGGGGAAGCCAGCATGTGGACCCCATGCTGCGAGGAGCATTGGCCTCACTGACTTGTTGGCTCTTTCCCCCGCCCGGTCAGTGCCGGACTTCCCTTCTCGGTGGGATGCTCACACCTGCCAGGGCAGCTGCCCCGGGGTTGGGGCTGCTGTTGCCCATGGCAGGGCAGCATTTCCCCTGCAGCATTGCGTGTTTTGAGTAAAACGGACCTTTGAATATCTTCACGTGTCAGGCAGTTCACTTCTGAAATGCACGTGTCCCAGGCAGCCCCTTGTCTCCGTCCGCCCTTCGCTCTGCCACGTCCCTCCACAGCTGGTCAGTGCCTTCTGTGTCCCGGCTGGCTCATTCATTTCCCTCCCGTGGTGCCGCCCAGGCATCTGACCTGAGACCTGGAAACGGCGAGGGGCGTTCCCTGCACCAGATGCTTTGAGTTATTGCTGGGTCTGAGCCCTGCCTTTTAAAACAGACCGGCCCCTCCTTTTCCAGGACATGACACGAAGATCGATGCAGATTTGAGCGTCAAAGCTCTCAGTGGGAACTGCTCTTTGCCTTCACGGAGAATTCAGCCTTCTGGTCCATTGCCTGGGCCTGATCGCTCTTCTGCTTCCTTTGTACAAAGAAATAGACCGAGATGACAAATGAGAGCAGAGTGGAGAGTGGGGCCTGTCTCTAGTGGTGGAGGTGGCCCTGTTTTGGGCTGGATGTGGTGGCTCATGCCTGTAATCCCAGCACTTTGGGAGGCCAAGGCAGGCGGATCACTTGAGGCCAGGAGTTTGAGATCAGCCTGCCTAACATAGTGAAATCCCGTCTTTACTAAAAAAAAAAACCAAAAAATTAGCTGAGTATGGTGGTATATGCCTGTAATCCCAGCTACCTGGGAGGCTGAGGCAGGAGAATTGCTTGAACCCTGGAGTCAGATGTTGCCGTGAGCTAAGATCACGCCACTGGACTCCAGCCTGGGCAGCAGAGTGAGACACTGTCTCAAAAACAAAAACAAAAAAAACCAGGAAAGAAGTGTCCCTGTTCTGGGGTGTGGTTGGTTGTGGGGCCTTGTGTCCCACTGTGTTGGCTCTGCGCAGCTCTCTTCATGGGGGCCAGCACCCACGGAGTCTTTTCACCTGAGCTCGAGCTCACTGGGGTTGGGGAGGGGGACAGTGGTGGCTACTGCCTGCCTCCCCTTCTCCCCCCCAGGGTTCTTCCTGGGCAGCAGTGATGAACATCAGGGCAGACGGGAGAGGATGCCCAGAGCCTGAGTCATCATTTGCCCAACTGTGACCAAGGTCAGCAGGTGCTAGCAGGGATCTGAGGGTCTAAGCAGCATGCTACAGGTGTAAATCACCCTGTCACCTATATTCCTGTCACCTGTCACCTGCCACCCTGTCACCCATCACGTGCCAACCTGTCACCTGTCATCCTGTCACCTGCCACCCTGTCACCCAACATGCTGCCATCCCCCCCCCCGTCTCCCAACATGCTGCCATCTGCCACCCATCATCCACTACCCGGCCCTTCTCATGAGCCCATCCTTGGTCTGCAGACCTCTCCACCTTCCTCCCAAAGGTAGAGCCAGCTCTGCCCTCATTTCCATCCATCCCATCTGAATGTGGGTTTTGTCATCACATAGCATGCCACACCGTGCCACGCCACTCCACGCCATGCCACGCCACGCCATGGTACATACTTGGAGGGTGCTGTGGAGACCCCTGTGAGGGGTGTCCTGTCCCAGTGCTGCCAGTGTGGTTGACCCCTGTGCCCTCAGCCCACCCCTCTCTGCGGGACAATTGCTAATGCTCCGCCGCACGTCCCGTGTTTTTGTGCGTCTCCTAGAGGTCCTGGTGACTGTCCACATTCCCTTGCATTTCCCAGCCTGCTCCCTGCAGCAGAGCTAGCCAATCCTGACGCTCTTCCCTGCAGGTGTAGTCTTCCATGGACCACTGCCCACCTAACCAGGGTGGGATGGCTGTGGCTGCCTGACTTTATTATCTCATCTTTTTTTTTTTTTTTCATTTTATTTGAGACAGAGTCTCACTCTGTTGCCCAGGCTGGAGTATGGTGGTGTGATCTTGGCTCACTGCAACTTCCATCTTCCCGGTTCAAGCATTCCTCCTGCCTCAGCCTCCTGAGTAGCTGGGATTACGGGCATGTGCCACCATGCCTAGCTAATTTTTTGTAGCTTTAGTAGAAACACTGTTTTACCTTGTTGGCCAGGCTGGTCTCAAACTCCTGACCTCAAGGCATCTGCCAGCCTCGGCCTCCCAGAATGCTGTGATTACAGGCGTGAGCCACCGCGCCTGGCCTGTTATCTCACCTGTCTTCCCCAGCCTGGGGGCTGATGTTGTTCCCTCCATTTCACAGGTCAGAGTCTCCCAGGTGGGACGGCCCAGCAGGGGCCAGGAAGCCACATGAACTCAGACCCTCTGACCCTAGGACTGGGCTTGGGCAGGGTCTCAGAGGGCCATGGAGTGGGATGGATTGAGAGCTGGTGCGGGTTTCAGGGTGCCGTGTGCCAGGCTCAGCGCCCTTCCTTGGTTCCTCCAGGTGAGCTCCTACCCCTCCATGGTGGGTGCGGAGGCTCAGGAGGAATTCCTGCGGGTCCTCGACTCCATGTGCCAGAAGCTCCGGTCTGTGCAGTACAACGGTAGCTACTTCGACAGAGGAGCCAAGGGTGGCAGCCGTCTCTGCACGCCGGAAGGCTGGTTCTCCTGCCAGGTGAGCTGTGTGCCTTTTATCCTGGGGCCACCAGGCTGGCTTGCAGAGCGCAGCCTGCCTGGGGCGAGGCGGGAGGGGACCTTCAGTCCTTGGCCTGCCTGGGCAAAGCCTTGTGAAGAGATGCAGCCTTCACATTCCTGGGGAGGGTGGCAGGGTCTCAGCCAGTGCCTCTCAAGCTCCAGTGCACACAGGCGTCCCTGGGGAGCCCGAAAAGGGCTCCAGGGCCCCGTCCAGGGCATGTCTCCATAGGGCTGGGCAGTGTCTCAGTCAGCTCTGGCTGCCGTAACAGATGACACTGGCTGGAACAGCAGCCGTTACTGCTCATGGTTCTGGAGGCTGGCAGCCAGGCCCACGCTCCCCCACTGCCTTCCCACGTGTCCCTTCTGCACCATGCAGGCGTCCTGTAGCCTCTAGTGGTGATGCTTCTGTGTCTCTGGCGAGTCCTGGGCACACCCTGGCTCCATGGTGTGGGAAGCAACTTGAGGCGCCTCTCGGCATTTGCAAACTGCAGTTGTGATCCCATTAAGGTCCCCTGATGCCCATGATGTTCTGAGTGCCACTCAGTGGGTCTGGAAGCAGGGCCGGGTGGTGGGCATGGCTTCTGGTGGCTTCTTCCCAGCGGACAAGGCTCCTTGCTGCTACTGCCAGTTAGTTCCTTCTGGGGTGATGGCCTCTGACCATAAAAACACGTCTTCCAAGTTGGCTTAACATTTAGACTTTGCAGTGCAGTCGCTCACCGCTCACTGAGTACTTGCCTTGCGCCTGGCACTGTGTAAGGGGCTGGGACATGAAGAGGAAAAACCCTTCATCCCTGACGGCAGGGTGAGTCCCGCACACTGGAAGGTGAAAGATGTGAGAGCCAGGCTGAGGAGGCCGCGGGGCCGCAGGAGTGTCCTGGGTGCGAGGGCCGGGGTGGGGCTTTAGAGCGGGTTGACTGATGGGTGGGGAGCAAAAGTGGGCTGGGAGGGGCCAAGCGGCCAGGGATGGCAGTGGGACCCACCAGTGGGCTCTGCTCGGGAGGCTGCAAGTCCCTGGCATGATGGGGGCACAGAGTGAGGTGGGCACCGGAGCTCCGGGCCTATGCAGTGCAGTTGTCTGTGCATGAATGATTGTGCTGAGTGCTGGGCTACAGACCACAGGGAAGAGGGAAGCCATGGATGCGCACGTCAGTAAGGCCGCACTGCCTCCGCACTGGGATCACAGGGAAACATCAGGAAGCCTCGGGGAGTGGCTGGAAAGGGGGCAGCTGGTCCCTGGGTCCCTGATTCTCACGTGCTGACCCTGGCCTCACTTCCCATGAGGTGGAGGTGCTGGTGTGTGACCACAGGGGCAGCAGTGGCAGTAACTTCCTTGTCCTCCTTGGAAACTCAGAACATAATGTTACGGGGGTAATGTGGGAAAAAGAAAGATCTGATTCCAAAGACAGAACTCTTCATCTCCCTAAGGCAGCGCTCCATGGTGAGGCGCGTCTCAGTAAGATCACCTGACTTGGTGTGTTAGGCTGTTCTCGAATTGCTATAAAGAAATAGAGAGTGGGTCATTTACAAGAAAAGAAGTTTAATTGGCTCACGGTTCAGCAGGCTGTACAGGAAGCATGGCGGTGGCATCTGCTCGGCGTCCGGGGGGTCCTCAGGAAACTTACATGTGTGGTGGGGGGGGAGGTAGGAGCATGCATGTCTCAGGTGGTGGGGGCAGGAGCGAGCGTAAGAGTGAGGGGCGGGTGCGACACACGTTTAAACCAGATCTCAGTAGGACTCACCGTGTTGAGGACAGTGCGGCGGGGATGGTGCTAAACCCTTCCTGAGAAATCTTCCCCTGTGATCCATCACCTCCCACCAGGCCCCACCTCCCACACTGGGGACATTTCAACATGAGCTCTGGGTGGGCTGCATGTCCAAAGCATGTTGCCTGGTGATAGAGACGACATAGGAGACTCACTTCTGGCTGGGTGTGGTGGCTCACGCCTGTAATCACAGCACTTTGGGAGGCCGAGGTGGGCGGATCACCAGGTCAAGATATTGAGACCATCCCTTCCAACATGGTGAAACCCTGTCTCTACTAAAAATACAAAAATTAGCTGGGCGTGGTGGTGCGCACCTGTAGTCCCAGCTACTCAGGAAGCTGAGGCAGGAGAATCGCTTGAACCAGGGAGGTGGAGGTTGCAGTGAGCTAAGATCACGCCACTGCACTCTAGCCTGGAGCAAGGCTCCGTCTCAAAGAAAAAAACAAAAGGAGACTCACTTCCTGGCCTTCCCTTGCTCTCTTTTTGCCCCCAGGGTCCCTTTGACATGGACAGCTGCTTGTCGAGACACTCCATCAACCCCTACAGCAACAGGGAGAGCAGGATCCTCTTTGGTACCTGGAACCTGGATCACATGTAAGCTCACAGAGCAGGGCCAGACCTGAGAGCACCTGCCGGGCCCTGGCCCTGCCACCGTGTTGCCTCCTTGGGTTTCAGGCGCTGCACCCGTGTTACAGCTCAGGGAAGGGGTGCCTGGTGGCAGCATGGGGTTCTACTGGGTGGGTACACACCATTCCTTCCACTGTCAGTACGGGTGCCTGACCCGGGGCCATACCTCCTGTCCCCTCTAGTGCTCCCTCTGGATGGAACTGGTGGGCAGCATCCTTTCCCAGAACACAGGGCCCAGCCCTCGGCTGTCAGAGGTTCTGAACCTCTGACTCAGAACCAGGGTGAGCTCAGAAAGCGGGAGCTCCCAGTGTTATGATAGTAAGAGTGTTTTTTCCTTTTCCTTCTTTTAGAGAGGGAGTCTTGCTCTGTGGCCCAGGCGAAAGTGTAGTGGCAGGATCATGGCTCACGGAAGCCTTGAACTCCTGGCCTCAAGTGATCCTCCTGCCTCAGCCTCCTGAGTCGCTGGGACCACAGGTGCTCACCAGCAGGCCTGGCTGGCTTATTTTGTGGAACCAGCATGAGCAGAAGTCTCGGCTAGCCAGGAGCGTTTCCTACCCACACGAGCTCAATGGCTCTGGCAGATGGGCAGGATGGAAAACTTCATTCTTTTCATCCAGGACTCTAACTGTAACCTTGCCGTTGCTTTTTGAAGACAGAAACCTTCAAATGCCTTTAAAATGGCTGTACAGGATGAGCATCCCCAACCTGAAAATCAGAAATCTGAAGTGCTCCAAAATCCAAAACTTTTTGAGTACCAACATGACGCTCAAAGGAAATGCTCACTGGGGCATTTAGGATTTGGGATTTTTTTTTTTTTAAGATGGCGTTTCCCTTTTGTTGCCCAGGCTGGAGTGCAATGGCGCAATCTCAGCTCACTGCAACCTCTGCCTCCTGGGTTCAAGCGATTGTCCTGCCTCAGCCTCCCGAGTAGCTGAGATTACAGGTGTGCGCCACCACACCCGGCTCGTTTTGTGTGTTTAGTAGAGATGGGGTCTCTCCATGTGGGTCAGGCTGTTCTCAAACTCCCAGCCTCAGGTGATCCGCCCTCCTCGGCCTCCCATAGTGCTGGGATTACAGGTATGAGCCACTACTCCTGGCCATATTTAAGATTTTTTTTTTTTTTTTTTTTTTTGAGATGGAGTTTCACTCTTGTTACCCAGGCTGGAGTGCAATGGCGCGATCTCGGCTCACCGCAACCTCCGCCTCCTGGGTTCAGGCAATTCTCCTGCCTCAGCCTCGAGTAGCTGGGATTACAGGCACGCGCCACCATGCCCAGCTAATGTTTTGTATTTTTAGTAGAGACGGGGTTTCACCATGTTGACCAGGATGGTCTCGATCTCTTGACCTCGTGATCCACCCGCCTCGGCCTCCCAAAGTGCTGGGATTACAGGCGTGAGCCACCGCGCCCGGCCTTAAGATTTTTTTTAAGGATGGGGATGGTGCTAAACCCTTCCTGAGAAATCCACCCCTGTGATCCATCACCTCCCGCCAGGCCCCACCTCCCACACTGGGGACAAGGTTTCAACATGAGCTCTGGGTGGGTCCAACTAGTCAGCATAATGTAAATATTCCAAAATCCTAAAAAAATCCCAAATCCAAAACACTCTGGTCCCCAGGATTTCAGATGGGGATACTCAACCTTTTAAGAGTGCAATTTTTTTAAAGTGTGTAAAACACGTAGTCATAGGTGAGCTTTTACCCTGTCCATACTCAGCCCCTACGCCTTGTGCCAAGGGAAAACGCTCTTGTGAAAGGTATGATGCCCTTCAGAGCCCTGCCACTGCACCTTTACCACACGCGTGAGTTTAATACACACATACGTGGCGTCCCACGCTGTCGTCTGCAGATCCCTGCCACTGCACCTTTACCACACGTGTGAGTTTAACACACACATACGTGGCGTCCCACGCTGTCGTCTGCAGATCCCTGCCACTGCACCTTTACCACACGCGTGAGTTTAACACACACATACGTGGCGTCCCACGCTGTCGTCTGCAGATCCTTGCCACTGCACCTTTACCACACGCGTGAGTTTAACACACACGTGTGTGGCGTCCCATGCTGTCGTCTGCAGATCCCTGTCACTGCACCTTTACCACACGCGTGAGTTTAACACACGTGTGTGGCGTCCACTCTCATCTGCAGCATGCCTTTCATTGCACGCTCTGCTGATGGTGATGCGTGTGGATTTGTTTGGCACATTCATTTTGGCAGGTGCAAAACACTTCACTTTTTGAATAGGCTCTAATTTTAACATCTTTCCATACTGGTGGGCATTTAGGTTATTTCCAAGTTCTCATCATTATAAAAGTCCCTGGGATGTATACTCTGTGGGATGAACCCATATGGTCTGGTTCCGTGCTATTTCAAGTGTGGTCACTTTAAAGCCTTAGCAACATCTGGGAGCTGGATGGGAATTCAGATCCTCAGGCCTCATCCAGGCATGACATTGAGGTGTGTGTCCTAGCAGGGGCAAGATGGCTCAGTGTCTGAGCTTAAGTCCCTCTAGGGAGTGTGCTGGGCACTAATGACACCGCTGTCCCCTCTCTGAGCCTGGCCAGGCTGCTCTCCTGAGTGTCCCAGCCTCCACGCTCACCTGGGCCTGACTCCTCAGCCCAGCAGAATCCTGCCTCTGTGTGAGCTCACGTTGTCCCGGGTTCTAGGTGCCACTTGGTGTCATTGTACACTTCTGCATTTTCGCGTCCTGATAGGTGAGACACAGATTCTCTTGCTCGAATTGGATTTTCCTGATGACTAGGAAGGTTGAGCTTCTCCTTCCATGTCTGTGGCCGCTTGTATCTTTGGTGTTCTCCTTTGCTCGTTCTGTCTTGGGCTGCGGTCTTATTTGTGGGCATGCTTTACACATTCTAGATATGTTAATTCTATGATATCTTTTATCACAAGTTTTATTTATGTATTTATTTTTTGAAATGGAGTCTTGTTCTGTCGCCCAGGCTGGAGTGCAGTGGCACCATCTCAGCTCACTGCCACCTCTGCCTCTCCAGTTCAAGCGATTCTCCTGCCTCAGCCTCCCGAGTATCTGGGATTACAGGCGTGCACCACCACACCTGGCTAATTTTTGTATTTCTTTAGTAGACACAGGGTTTTGCCATGTTGGCCAAACTGGTCTCAAACTTCTGACCTCAGGTGATCTTCCCAGCTCGGCTTCCCAAAGTGCTGGGATTATAGGGATGAGCCACCGCGCCCGGCCCGCAACAAGTTGTAAACGGTATTGTGCTCAGATGTTCCCTTTGTGTGTTAGGAAATCCTGCCCTGCCCTGTTTATCCTGAAGAGATTCTCCTACTCTCTTCTCTGCTGCTTTGCTGGGCCCTTGCGATACGCACCAAGTACCCAGCGATGTTTCCTCCCAGCCGTGTCAACGCTCTTGTCCTTTTCAAGACCATCGCAGGTGGGGACGTCAATCTAGAGGACACAACCAGCATTTGCAGAATGAAATAGGCCATCCTAGACCAGAGCACAGATGAAAACAGCAGAAGGCACAGCGTGAGTCAGAGGAATGTTTCATGAAGTGTGTGTTGGGGCTATATTTTCTCTTACTCTTCCTAAATATGAATACTTACACACAGATGAGTGCGTTGGGTTTTCATTAAAAATGTAGTAGTTTTTAGCACCGGTTATCGGAAAGTGGCAGAGACACTGGTCGGTTTGCCACAGGCCTGCCCTGGCGTTTGTGGGGCTTGACACCATGTGCCACGTTTAAATATTTAAGAATCAAAAGCTAACAAACTATGAAATAAAATCATACGTGCTGTCCGCACCTGCACTTAGGTATCTTCATGGCTGGGAAGGACTGAGAATTTGCAGGCCTCTTCCAGTTCTGGGACGTGCAGGGCAGTGGAGCCCAACCATGGCCTGCCACCTCAGCACCACCTCACGCCTGGGGCCTGCACACAGAGCATCCAGGCTTGGAACACCCTCCTCCTCGGGCTGAAGGGCGCAGGCCCTGGGGCTCAGCCTGTCTGAGGAGGATGGCCTGGTCCAGGGCCCGTGTAGCGCAGGGACCCCCGGGCAGAAGGCTGCACTGGGAGTGCCCTTGTCGGCTCTGGGTGGGCCTGACTCCTCAGCCCAGCAGAATCCTGCCTGCAGTGGGAGGGCTGTGGTGGGCAGGGCTGGGAAAGCTCCTCTTTCCTGGAACCCTAGGGATGTTTCCCACAGGGTCCTCATGGCCCCTGTGAGCCCTGCCGTGGGGGAACTCTCCCTTCTGTCTCCTCACAGCTATCTCAAGCGATTTTCCTGCCTCAGCCTCCTGAGTAGCTGGGATTACAGGCACCTGCCAACACGCCCGGCTAATTTTTGTATTTTTGGTAGAAACGGGGTTTCACCATGTTGGCCAGGCTGGTCTCGAACTCCTGACCTCAAGTGATCCACCTGCCTTGGCCTCCCAAAGTGCTGGGATGACAGGTGTGAGCCGCCGCGCCCGGCTGGAATTGTTTTGAGAGGCATGATCATGGTTTTGTTTTTGATCCATGCAGTTTCCAGAAGTCATTTTAGTTTCCACATGCTTTCATGTTTGTGTTCGGAGTCCCGTGTTCCTGCCTGCCTCTTGTCGTGGTCAGTTTTTCTAACTGCCCAGGGTTTGTAGATGTTCACAGCGCGCAGCGCCTCAGCTCCGCTGTGCTGGATTTAGATTCTGTGCCGGCCTTCTCTCGGTCCTGCAGCGTTTCCACCCCTTTCCTTTGGCCCTTTATGCACCATTAGGTTTGGGGTTATCTCCTGTTAGCCAAGGGTAACGGCCTTTTGTCTTCATCTAACCTGAGACTCTGTCGTTCAGCCGCAGCCTGAACCTGCTGCAGGTGTTGTGACAGCAGCTGCCTCCGAGAATGTGACCCTGTGGGGTCCCTTGCTCTCAGCTGTGTCTCCAACGTGTAGGACAGAGTCTGGCCTGGTGGCCATTCTGTTGCCCAGGCTGGAGTGCAGTGGCACAACCTTGGCTCACTGCAACCCA